TAACTGAGCATGATTTGTTTTCCTCTCCCCTTCTCTGCAAGTGTGGTGGTATTGTGTTCCCCGAAATATTGTGCATGCTAATAAACTTTTCTGGGGTCAGAGAACAGAACAGCCACAATATTAAACATAGAGGCTAGGCAGTGGTAGCACATGCCTTTAATCCTAGCATTCCAGAGGCAGAGATCTACCTGGACCTCTGTGTGTTCGGTACAGCCAAGCATGGTGACTCATGCCTTTAATCCCAAGAAGTGAGCCTTTAATCCCAGGGAGTGATGGCTGAAAGAAGAAAGGTATATAAGACATGAAGACCAGAAACTAGAAGCTTTTGGCCTTTTAAGCATTCAGGCTTTTGAGCAGCAATTCAGCTGAGATTCATTCTGGATGATGACTCAGAAGTTTCCAGTCTGAGGAAACAGGATCAGCTGAGGGATTGGCAAGGAGAGGTGGCTGTGGTTTGTTCTGCTTCTCTGATCTTCCAGCATTCACCCCAATAAATGGCCTTGGGTTTAGTCTTATTAATAAGAACTTCTTAAGATTCCTGCTACATGCAAGTTTTTGTGGAAATAGTAAAATACATATCAAATTGAATTTAGCTACCTAAACTTTGGTCAAGTAACAGCTTTTCTTCTCTGTCAGTGTCTAGTATCATGCAAATCTTCATTTAGAAATAAAAACAAAAGCAAAAATGAAGAAGAGAGACTTGCATTCTTGTGCCTTCTGCCTACTCTTTCCTTCGCTTTTGTCTTTCTTTTCCTCATCTCTAGCCACTCACTTGTTTTTATTATTGGATGAATTTGATATGATGATAAAGCTAGAAATGAGAAAGCTGCCTCTTTGCATCTCATGTTTCCTTTAGCAAATTTGTGCTGTTTCAAGGTGCAAGTGTTATCTCAATAACCAACCTCTTCAGCCACTAGAACAACTTAAATCTGTTTTACTGTGTGACATTTATGTCACCCCAGTGTGCCACTGCCCCAAAAGGAAGTCTTAAATCGCGCTGATTCTTTCTTTTGGTTTTTTTTCTCTCTTCCATTTTAAGGAGCATGATTTCACTTATTTCACTTATAATCAGCCTGTATTCTACCTGGATGAGTTTATGTGGGATGCATATGCTTGGTTTCCAGTATGCAGGAATCTCTCCTTCCTTCCTCTTCTATCTTTGACAGCTCCTTCTCGGTAGCCCTTTCTCATTCATCTTCATCAATCTCATTAATAATGTTGGTGCCTTTCCAGTTACAGGCCCAGCCTTCTTTCTCATACCATGCCATGAACTCTTAATGCCATCTTTCATTCTATTCCAGGTGCCAAACACCCACTTTGGACTTCATGTTCTTTCATCTGATTGATCCCACCTATAAGCTGTGTCTCCGTCTGATTATTTGAAATATTTCACACCTCATTTGATTTCTCACATTTTTAGTCCCTCATTTGGTTTCATTCCTTGAATATGGCAGATTCTGCCTTGCTTCTCATATCATTGCTGCACTTCTCATAAAAATATTAGCCCATCGATTTCCTTTTTCTTATTTTACTAAAGCACTATTTATCTTTAGATTTTTACAAAGGTCACAGCTGACAAACTGACAACTTCTCTCTCCCAACTTCCAACATAAATAAGTGCCTTCATTACTCTGCCTTCCTCTAACAACTTCTGTTTCTCTTTATATAAGAAGACATTTTACAGTTTTAAACTAATTTAATTTTTGTTTCCTTCCTCTTCCATCAAGCCAATCATTCTCATGGCTGTATTTTAGAATCAGCTAGGATTTTTTTTATTTTAGGCTAATATGTGGGTTTTATCAGGACCAGCTGAATGTCTAGGTGTGCAGCCTAGACTCCTTTGTTCATATGATGCTTAGCACTAGACTGTAAACCCCTGAAGGACTTTGGTGGTTGTTTGCTCATTACCCATTATAGTACCTGTCCCAGAATATTAAAAACTGCTTATTGCAGTTGGGCACTTGGGAAGCAGAGATAGATGGATCTGTGAATTTGAGGCTAGCCTGGTCTATAGAGTGAATTCCAGGACACCCATGGCTACACAGAGAAGCCCTGTCACAAACAGACAGACAGGCAGACAGACAGACAGACAAGCAAATCAACAACACCCCCTAAAAGCCTACAATCAAACAAACAAAAAATCCTACTTATTGCTTAAGAAATAAATATTTTAAAATTATTTTAACATGTCTCTTACTGTAGTTCTCTACATTATTCCTGCAGACAAAAATTCCTTCCTATCTGCCTTGACACAAGCTAGTTCTTTTCCATACTCAGGTAATACTTAGTTCACTTCAGTTTATTTCCCAAGACTTGCTACAGGCTTCTTCTTCTTCTTCTTCAGAAAGTCTCCCAGCAGCTGCCCTTGCTTTTGTCCTATAACCTGGTATTTATTCTACATTGTTTTGGAATGGAGTAAGTGCTTTGCATATACACTCACTTGTGAACTCTCCAAGGCCTCAGGGCATCTCCAATTTTTTTGTATTGTTCACCTTCCTTTATTTTTAAACTTTATTTGTTTTTAAAATGTTCATACAAGTATATATTACATGTTGAACACATCCCACCATACCCCTCTACCTTTTCTTTCTTTTTTTAATCTCACCTGTTAGGCTCTTTTGTCCTCCTAGACAATTTACTTCCACTTTAATGTTACATATATGCATATTTTATGTTCTGTTTTTAAATTTTTACTTTATTTTATTTTACAATACCATTAAGTTCTACATGTCAGCCACGGGTTCCCCTATTCTTCCCCCTCCCACACCCTCCCCTTACCTCCAGCCTACCCCCCATTCCCACCTC